CTTTTACTCACCAGTTCAGTTAGAAGTATTTCATAAATATCTCGTTGAACCTACAGTTATTAAGTGAGCCTATCCCTTTTTTCTAAAGTTAACTCAGGTTTACCTGAATATACTAGAATATCATTACCACAAAGGCCATTCTATTGTTGTATCTTAATGGTGACAGAATGAATCGCTACATAAACAATCAAATGCAAATGTTTTAAAATTGAGTTTCTACCTTTTGTGAACTTACTTTACTGGGGATTTTTTGTTTATTCCATACAAAAATAATGTAAATCATATTAACTGATGTTCAATCTTGCTGGAAATGTACCTTTAAACCTCTGGGTTAAACGAGGAAATGATGAAGATAAGGAAATTTAGCTTATATTTACTTAATTTTATAATTTAACATAATGTTTCAAAAATATACGCAATATGACAAGAAAAACTTTTTGACAGTATTGTGAAGAGTAACATTCATGTCAAAATCTAAGTTTTCCTTAGTTTTTATTGTGACATAGTTGTGTGAAGAAAATGCTTTAACAGCAGAAAGCAGAAGTTCCAAGTTCTTTAGGACATAAGAAACCCAGTTTAAAGTTTCCCCAAGAGGGTTAGTTTGGCAATCAATAGACTAATGATATAAGTATTTTTTTAGTTCTTTACGAAGATTGTTTTAAAACATTGAAGTTATAATTGATATTTTAAACGTTTTGTAATGTCTAGAGAAAAAGTGAAAATAGCTTAGATATTTTTGGTTTTCTATATCTATGAGATATCCAAAGATGTGAACGAATTATTGGTTACTCATTCCGCTATAAACTGTGAAGCTTGTTAATCTTCTGGGCTTGAAAATAATTTCTATTCTTTGACCAAACAAAAAATATGACAGTTACATATCGGAATTAGGAATTTCCTTTGTATTCAGATCCACTGTAGGAGAAAATCCACTTTCAAAATACTTTACTAGATGTACTTCAGCAGGGTCCACGAAAGTGTCCTGTTTCAAGAGTAAACCAAAATTGAGAGTAATAAATATATTTATTTCTTGCTTTTGATGTTCATATGCCATGCTGTGTTGTTCCCTACAGAGTACATAATTAATAATGGCTGGAAACGGCTTGAATGGGTAATGAAGAAAACCTTTAATACAAGTTTAAAATAACGGCAAATGTACAACGTTTCGACAAGGTTTTGTCATCATCAGGTATATTAAAGTTTTTCTTCATTACCTGAAGATGACAAAACCTTGTCGAAACGTTGTACATTTGCTGTTATGTTAAATTTATATTAAGTTTTTCTTCATTACCCATTCAAGCCGTCTACAAAGTGGTTCCTCGTCACCGAAGAGTACATAACTTTTTACGTGGCACGTG